TTTGAAATGTTTTCTATACATTACATATATTAATTTTTTACATGTTATTAAAAAAAAAAAAAAAAAAAAAAATTATTTATATAGATCTTTGGTAAAACATTTGAAGGGCAGAAAGATGAAAGAATTATATCTGCTTTTGCAAGAGAAATAAACGATCTTTATAGTAAGATACTAAATTATCCTGTTATAATAATAGCCACTTCGGATGGGTCTGAGATTCCTGGAGAGTTACATAGAATATTTACGGAAACAATTAATTTGGAGAGTTTAGATCGTCAAAAGCGAATGGACATTATAAAATGGCAGCTAGCGTGTCAAAGAATAAATTATGATGCAGATTTATTAAACATAGCAGAATTATGTTCTGGTTTTGAATACAAAGATTTAATTGCTTTGATATTGCATACTATAAAAATATATTGCAAAAGAACAAAGCAATATTCTAAGCATTCCATAACACTAGCAAAGGATGACTTTGTTGAAGCTTATAGTAATGTTATTTTAATATAATATTATTTTATAACATTTACTATCTTTTTCAGTTTGTTTAATAGAAAAATTTTTAATAAAATTTTAATTTCATTTTTAGAATATATCCAATCAATAAATATGGATAGCAAAGGAATGCCACGTGTACCAGAAGTATATTGGAATGATATAGGTGGCTTAGAAAATTTAAAACACGAGATCACTCGTAGAATTCGTTTACCCATGTTAAGTTGTTTTAATTTTGGACAATCCGGCTTACTTTTATACGGTCCACCTGGAACAGGAAAAACTCTTCTTGCTAAGGCAGTTGCAACTGAATATCAGCTGCACTTTTTATCTGTTAAAGGTCCTGAAGTTTTAAATATGTATGTTGGACAAAGTGAACAAAATGTTAGACAAGGTAAAAACAATTTATACAACGATATAAGATAATATAATTTGAATAAATTAATTTGAATTATTATTAATTATCTTTGTAGTATTTGAAAGGGCACGCTCTGCAGCACCATGCATCATTTTCTTTGATGAATTAGATTCGCTGGCTCCTAATCGTGGCAGAAGTGGAGATAGTGGTGGTGTTATGGATCGCGTTGTTTCTCAGTTATTAGCAGAAATGGATGGTCTTGATAGAGCAACCAATATTTTTATCATAGGTGCAACAAACAGGCCAGATTTAATCGATCCAGCCTTACTTCGACCTGGTAGATTTGACAAATTATTATATGTAGGAATTCATTCAACTTTTCTTTCTAAACTTAATGTTTTAGAAGCATTAACACATAAATTTAAATTTTTAAATCATGGAAGAGAGTTGATACAACTTATAATAGATTTACCCATTAATCTTACTGGTGCCGATTTATATTCTATTTGTTCTAATGCTTGGCTAAATGCTGCTCGTAGAGTTCTTAATACTATTAATAATATGCAGGATAATTTAACTAAAGAAAATTATCTTACACATATTCCTGGACAATTTAGTCATGTAACTGTCGAATTATTAGATTTTAAGGAAGCAATAAATAATTGGAGTCCATCTGTTAGTGAAGAAGAAATGCGAAGGTATGAAAAAATGCAAGAAGAATTTTCTTCTAGACAAATATTAACTGTTAATATGTAAAGATAAATTTTGTACATATGTATATTTTATAATGAAAACAATGGAAACATTTCACTATATTTTCTATTTAATATTCTAACACAAGATCGTATACTCGATAATAAATTCTACAAGTAGATACATAATATTATATGAACGTTATGCTATTTTATTTCAAGAAATATATAAAACAATTTATACATAGTAAATAATGAAATCAAGGAAAACTATCTACATTCTATTCTAAATATTGCACCAATCGATTATTCTTACCATAATAGCGTGACAGAAGAAAAGGAATAATCGAAAAATTATTTTTATGGATCATCAAATTTTCTACTTTGCCAATACGATATACACAATACAGCATGATAAATATACAATATAGAAAAATAGGGCAGCTAAACTTACCAAGTCTATCTATAAAGACGTATATAATTTAAAGATTGGGATCGCGCAAATATGCTTCCAAGATATTCAATATTTTAATGCGATATGTAATAGGTGAAGATTTTTTTAAAGATTATTTTGAAAATATCATCTACCTTTAAAAAACTAAATATGTCTGGATAAACGAATACATATAAACGATTGCATATCAACTTACGTTTCTTTCTTCAAAAATTGCACATGGAAAATTAGATTTTGTTTCATAAATAATATCCAATAAGTTGCGTGTCCATTTGTGTTAAATATTGTTCACGATGTAATCTTTGGTATAATCAAGAGGTAGATTTTTATGGCTTAAAAGAGGGTATATATAAGAGCGGAACACAACTTTCCTTTGATATAAATGATTTTTTTTTTTTTTTTTTTTTTTTTATAGTAAAAGCACTTTTTGTATCCTAGTATCATAGAAACTTGTTTGAAGAAAGCGCATGCTTGTTTATACATATTGTGCTATTACTTATAATTTAAAGCGACGTAATTTTTTTCTTTTTCTATTTTCTTTTTCTTTTTTTTTTTCTTTTTTTTTTTCTTTCTTTAATATATACGTAATTGGTACATGAATGTATGAATGTAGAATGATGTAGGACAAGTTCTAATTACAGAGATATTTTTCAGTGCCTACAATATTCAAATGTGTATAATATTGAAATAAAAATTTTTTTCTTAAATTCAAATACAGTTCTCTTATATAGCTTCGGTAATATTAATTGAAATATAACTTTATGAAATGTGTCAAAAAAATCTGCATATATATTTCCGAGAATTATTTATTTCTTTTTATTTTGCCTTCTTTTTAAGTTTTAAGAGAATATCCAAAATATTAATATATTAATGTTTGATATTTCAGTTTATAATAACAATTTAATATTTATTCCTTAAAAGAATCATGAGGATGATTCATTTAACAAAGTTATTATCCAATTAATAATGCCACTTCATTGCCCGTAGAAAATAGTAATTTGCAAGCGCAATGCTATTAAAATACACTTTATGTTACAAAACATCGTCATTTACATTGTATACACGGATTATACAATATTAAATTGTTATAAAAGTCTTAACGCGATATTTTAACAAAATATTTAATTTAATGTTCAAATAATTTATAAATAATATATAAGAAAATTTATAATTATAATAAAATTTAAAGAAGTTCTCGTAATTGTGTGAGAAACTTTGAATAGAAATTATTTGTTGAAATTGAGAAACGTTGAGATATTTATAACAATTAAATAATATCCGTATTAATACTATTTCAATATATGTGCTTTTTCTAATCGTCAAATTAAATTATTAAAATGACTTTTGATATTTTTTCGATCGTAACGTGTATTTATCAATATTATTATTATTATTATTATTATTATTATTATTATTATTATTATTATTATTATTATTATTATTATTATTATTATTAGGTCAACGATGGGATCAGTACAGTTCGTAACATAAAAAATATGTTACCAAGTAGTTATTAATATATAACTATATATATAAATAAATAAATATATATATATATATATTCAATTAGTTGTGCAAACTACATAAGAAAGGATCGATAATAATATAACCCTTGTATAGCCAGTTTATATACTAATCCCAATGTGTAGGAGTTAAAACATGTAAATGATACTTAAAGACTAATTATTATTTAACTATATAACCTTCTTCTGTTTATTGTATATCGATAGGATACAACAGCACAGTCAGGGGCTCTGCATATATTGCAGTACACATATCAAACATAAGTATCACATTTGATAAATACGTTAAACGTATTTGCACGTGTGCACATGATTTGTGCAACTGTCTATCATTATCATCATCATCATCATTGTCATCATCATCATCATTATTATCGTTATCTCCGCACTGAATATAATAATAAAATTATTTTATCTTTTCGTTATTTAAATAAAACATCGAGGAACACAATTTTTATATTATATTTATATAGAAGAAAAAATGAAAAATGAAAAATGAAAAATGAAAAATAAAAATACAAACAATGTGAAAGGTCATATAGTATGTACGTAAATGCTTGGTAGGTAAAATTTACGAAGAAAATACTTTGTACTCGACGGGTATAAATAATTCTTTTTCAATAATTACATTTTCATTCTATTTTTATTATTTTGTTTGTTTGTTTGTTTATGTTATTACTTTTGGTTCAACTCCCCACCGCTCCTACCTCCCCCACCCCCCCAATCAGAAATCGTCAGTCCCAAATTTATCGCACAAATCTACCAAGCTTCTTCTATATAGTACTTCAAAATAAGAGACGCCTATGTATTTATGCAGTTTCGTGCTCCGATAACATTTATCATTAATTAACAATGAAGATTAGAGACAATATGAGCGATCGATATATAAATGTTTATAAATAATTTATTTTCATACTAATTAATATTCTTTAACGAATATCATATTGTTTCTTCACTCTCTTCCTTCTTTTTTTTGTTCCACCAAGATCGAATAATCTTCATAGTTAGTTATCTCAAACGAAAGCATTTTTAGCGTAAGTGTTGCTAAAAACAAATAAAAAAACTAAAGAGAAAGAGAGAGTGAGAAGAGAGAAAAAGAGAGAGAGAGAAAGAGAGAGAGAGAGAGAGAGAGAGAGAGAGAGAGAGAGAGAGAGAGAGAGAGAGAGAGAGAGAGAGAGAGAGAGAGAGAGAGAGAGAGAGAGAGAGAGAGAGAGAGAGAGAGAGAGAGAGAGAGAGAGAGAGAGTGAGAGAGAGAGAGAGAGAGAGAGAGAGAGAGAGAGAGTTATATTTAATAAAACGCAGCAAGTTTAATTGTCTAAAGGATTTTTCACTAACACCACAGAGTCTATATCTTTATATTCAATCTATGTAGGATCTTTAAATACATTCTAATGGAACACGATTAGGATTCGATCGATTCGATATCAGAGTTGTTTTAACGTCACTCTAAATTTTCTGTTTTATTTATTTATTTTTTCTTTTTTTTTTCTTTTTCCAAAAGAGAAGAAAAACTATGAATCGGTGATTGTTGTTGGTAGTAGACACATGTAAAGAGCTAACACAGACAGGATCCGTAGATTAATGAACGTGTTCCACGTCAAAAGTAATGTCTTGTGGGTAAAACCGGTCATGATCCAGCAGTGGTCGAGCCTAAAAATTAAAAAATCAACATAATTGATCACGCGTGTTGATGTCAAAAAAAAAAAAAAATAAAGGAAAGAAAAAGAAAACAAAAAAGAAAGGAAACGAAAAAGAAAGAGAAAAAAGGAACAATGTAATCAATTGTAAATTCAATTCGTATATTTGTAGAAGCGAATTTCTTTTACCGGGTCAAGAGGATTTCGTCGCGAATTCGTGCAAAATGTCGCACGCCATTTCAAAGTCATTCCTTGTGATACCCAAAGCCCTAATCACAGCGTCCTGAGCGAAACCAAGTGAGGTGAGCCTAGCGATATGTTCAACATTGACGTTTTCATAAGCAGCGGCCTCTGGTTTGCTTGTTGGACCATTAATATCATCCCTGGCCTTCATGAGAGCAGTTAAACGTGCTCGGTTTACTTCGAGATTGATATTCTTTACAACGTGTTGCCTCGTACCAGGAATGACAATCGTATTTTCATATTGATGATCTTGTTTAGAATTTTCTTTACTGCTACCTTTTGGTGGTCTTGGTGCGGACAAGGGAGGTGGTACTGGTGGTACATTGTTTGTAGCGGTTAACGTTGTAGTTGTAACCACCGATGTTGATGTTGTTGTTGTTGCTGTTGTCGTTGCTGCTGTTGTTGTCATTGCAGTAGTTGTTGTTGTTGTCATTGCCGTAGGCATCGTTGTAGTCGCCGTCATTATTGTTGTTGTTGTTATTGTTGTTGTTGCAGTACAATTATTTGAAATGATACGATTTGTTTTCTCTGGTAATATCGGTGGAGTCTGAACTGTGATGGATGCATGATTACCATGATTTTGTCGTATGTGACCACTACCTCTGACTACTGTGGGTGGTGCAGGTACAGGTGGTACAGGTGGTATCGGTGATGGCGATGATGCTCTGTGCAGCATGTCGTACTTCGCCTCGTTATTAACTGAAAAAAAATTAATTATTATTGTAATTAGTAATCTCTCTCGAGTAAACTTTTTATTTTACTTATACATATACACCTAAAAAAAAAATATATATATATATATACATAATTAATAAAAAATACATTAAAATATTAGTAATACTGTACCTTTATTGTGTTGACAATCAGTAGTAGAACTTAGAATGACAGTGACGTTAGAAGACGGTGGGGGAGGTGCATTTTCTTTTGGAACGACCAAATGCCGACCATTTCGAAGATGATTATTTGGCGTTGGTGATGGCGATGGTCGTCTTGGAGGTAATGGCGGACTTGGAACGATTCTTCGAGGTGGTATCGGTGAATTCGTAGGACTGATATCTTCTTCGTCATCTGTATCGTCGCAAATCAGTCCGTTCCTTAGCTCCATTATATCCTAAAACATCCAGATCAGAAGAGGGAAGTCGTTAATGATGTCATCGTTCTAAAAACTTATCCAATCTTAAACGGATCTATAATTTGATTTTATATTATATTTTTTAAATTCGTTAAAAATATACAAAAAGCAAAGAAAAAAATAGAATTTCTTCTTTTTATTTTGTTTGTTTTTTACGCCGAGAGAAAAATAATTCAATGATTTTCATTGATTACTATTACTACTACTACTACTACTACTACTACTACTATTACTATTATTATTACTATTAATACATTGTTATTATTATTATTTTTACTATTATTACTACTACTACGATAGATTTACATTTCCAAAATATATTAAGGATAAAATTTATATAGATAAGAACTAGTAATAAATAATCGCATGAAATAAAAAAAAAAGAGATTATGTCTACATATTGAAAATTCTTTTAAAATATATTTTTCTGTGCTTCGAGAATGCAACTTAGTGCAATATAATTTTATAAATTTATAAATCCTCTCTCTCTCTCTTTCTCTCTCTCTCTCACTCTCTCTCTCTCTCTTTTTCTCTAGCATTTTTATTCTTTTTCTCTACGCTAATCCGATTATCATTTCTTTATTCATATAAGTTCTTTCACAGTTGAAATATTTAGACTTCGTTGTAACAATAAAATATGCTGTTGTAATAGATCGATATTACATAGAGTAAGTAAGATAGAGTATTGCATAAAAGAAATTAAATATATATATATATATATATATTCTTTTTTTAATATTAAAATATTAATATTATTACTATACTATATTTATCATATGTAATATAATTAACTATAATAATAGTAAATTTCTATTAAATTAAATTCTAATAAATTAATATATTATCATATATATATATATACACACGCACATAGTATATTATATATTATTTAATATTATATATATATATCTATAGAGAGAGAGAGAGAGAGAGAGAGAGGAGGAAAGAGATTATATGTAGATAAGTCTTTTGATTGCATCTTATCACCAAAAGCCAAGAGTAGTGTTTGTTAAATGTATCTTTTCGATTTTAACGAAAAATGAGAGCGTGTAAACGTTACAAATTCATCAAGAGCATAATTAATTATTATTACACAAAAGCGCTGAAGGAAAAAGAAAAAAAAAAAAAAAGAATGAAGAAAGATAAAATATAAAAAAATAAAAAAGAAAACAAATGAAAAAAAGAAAAGCGAGAGAGACTGCCATAATGCGGATATATGGTGTGTGAACTTACCTTAATTAATAATTTTTTCTAACACGTGACATCTCTCCTTCTCAGGTATGTACATTACCGATTAGTTCGATCATGCAGCGGGCAGAGAGAACAATGGACCCAGTAGATAACGTTATGAAATAAAGATTTCAAAATCTTTCTCATGCGTACACACGATACAAAAACTTTTAACAGCTTCATTTTCTCGTGGCGGATTCTTTTCCGACTGTTCTTTTTTTCTCTTTTCTTTTTTTTCTCACTCTTTCTTTCTTTCTTACGAAGTTTTAGCTTCCCTTTTTTTTTTTTTTTCTATAGTTGCTGAGAGAGATCACTATGATTATTTAAAAGGAAATGGTATCCGTCGAATGAAAACTAAAAATTTAACGAAAGGGATATGTACTTACAAATATACATATATGTTGTATATAGGATATGTCCACCCCAATTCCTGCCCAAGAAGGTTTGACCAATACTTCAGTGTATCGAGGGTATACAGTGGAACAATACTTAATCAATAATTAATCAATGACAGCCATTTTCAATTTACAACTAATAAACGGCCTCGAAATTGTTCGTTCAGTTGATAAATCTATTTATTCTTTAGTAAGTTTAAATACGATGAAATTACTTCCAAATACAATCTAATATGATTAGATTTTTATCATTTAAAGAAAGAAAAAAAAAGGGCTTGGAAATTGTTATTAAAAAGTTATTCTACGGGACATCCCTCTTCTACAAGCCCCTGAAGTATGGATAAGAAAAACCTTTTGGTACATCCTGTATATTTATATATATATATGTATGTATGTATGTATGTATGTATGTATGTATCTATGTATGTATGTATGTATATATGTATGTATGTATATATACGTGTCCTAGAAGTCACACTCTCTTTGGTTTATCGTGATAAAATTATTTTATTTATGATAAAAAAAAGAAGAAGAAGAAGAAGTAGAATAGAGAAAAGTTATTTGTTTTCTTTTTTTTTTTTTTTTTAGAATTCCTAATATTTTACAATCGGATAGAAAAAAAAAGATTGACGAAGAAAAACAAGAATATGTACGCTAAAATATTGTTTCATTGTGAATTCCATTGAGAAAAAAGAAGAAAGAAAAAAAGAATTTTTTTTAGATATAAAAAAAATAAAAAATAAAAGAAAAAGAGAAAAAAAATAAAAACACCGGCCGCAGGTTTTTAACATACACGATAAAATTATGAGCCTAACTGCTAACAATTTAGCAACAATGTCAATTGTACAAATAACACTAATAGCTAGGCGTTGACACATTAGGTAACACGTATGAAAGTTATATTATTGTCCTGTACTATTAGAAACATCAATTGGAATTATTTTTTTTTTTCTATTGCGATTTAATTTTTTCCTTCTTTCTTTCTTTTTTATTTTTTTTATTTATTTTATTTTTTAACGTAAACAATCATTTAATTAAAAAAAAAAAAAAAAAAAACAAAAAACAAAAAAATCTTTACACATTTTCAAAATTCTGATCTATTTGCGATTATTTCAATAATAAGTCATTGTTAGATCATTATCTTTTCTATTGGGATTTAATTTCTTTTTTCTTTTTTAATCTAAACAATTATTTAATTAAAAAAAAAAAAATATCTTTAAAATCGTGACATTATATATATATATATATATATATATATATATATATATATATACACACACACATACATATATGTATATGTATATATGTGCTACTATGATCACTGGTATAAAAATCTTCTGATATATCCTTTTGCGAAATAAATAATAAATATTTAAAAGTAAAGTGGATAAGAGTTATTCGCTGTGAAAGATATATATCGCTAACAAAACTATCATTACACACATTTTTTCTATCGCCAACAGGTATATATGTGTATATGTATATAATAGGTTCTAATAGATTACACAAAGGACGCACACATTCGTTGACATATTCAGCTAATTAGCAATTATTTTATAGCCGATTGTAATGGGTTTTCTGTTTTTTTCTTTTTCGTATTCTTTCTTTCTTTTTTGTTTTTTATTTGTTTTTCTTTTTTTCATTCTTTATCGATCAATATACATACATATGTATATATATATATATGTGTGTGTGTATGTGTGTATACATATACATATACATGTATATATTTTCTCTCTACATCTATAGTAAATGTATATATATATATATGTATATATATATACATACATATACAGTGTGTCTCAATTAAGTCGAACACTTGAATTATTTACGCTCTCATAGAAAATAAGAAAAATAAATAAATAACTATAAAAGGAGTTTATATGGTTCAAGGATGTGAATCTGCCGATCATAAAAAAAAAAAAAAAAAAAAAGAAAAAAAAAATCAATTTCGGATCTTTTTTTTGAATGCCATTTCAGCGCTCATGTTCAGTGTTAATTTCTTTTGCAAATTAACATCTATACTTCACTATGGCCTTCACCTGATCCCGAGGAAAAAAAAAAACAAAACGGAAAAAAATAAACCAAAGATCTTGAAAATGACCTCGATGGAATATTTTTTATCTTCACAAGATGCGCACCTTGAAAATCATATGAACTTTTCATACAGTCATTTTTTTCTTACTTTCAATAACAGCAAAAATAATTAAAATGTTCAATTTAATTTGAGACTTCCTGTATATATATATACTACTATGTTCTTAAGTTCGTATAATTTTACGAATAATCGGTTTAAAGCTTCATCCTTAACCATACAGAATACTGTGATAGGTATAATCGCATTTATCGCGGATTGATTAATTTGTTATACACATATATATATATATATATATATATATATATATATATATATATATATGTATATATATTATGTTCTATTTATTTTTTAAGAGAGAATATTATTATTAAAAAATATGATAAAATAAGTTAAATTATTAATGTGATCCAAGGCCTCTCTCTCTCTCTCTTTTTTTCTCTTTGAAATATTGTTATTATTATTATTATTATTGTTATTATTATTATTATTATTATTATTATTATTATTATTATCATTATTATTATTATTATATCTATATATATATATTTTTTTCTCTTTTGTTCTTTAAATCGATCGATTCCATTCTGTCAAAAGTTCATTGAGATGATAAATATTAGTTGATCGTAAGAATTTTATATGTAACGAATTACACGTCTCAGAAAGCTTAATTATATTATATAATTTTTTTTGCTTTGCTTTTTCTTTTCTTTTTTTTTTTTCTTCGAAATGGATTCGCAAACTCTTCATAGAGAATAGTCAACCATCCTTCACATTAAATGATAAGTGATTGTCTTTTTAATGACGGTAGACAACAGGAGCAAGAAATGGGAAAAGTTTTCCGTTGTTATTGAATTTGAAGAGAGAATTTGGAGGAAAAAAAAAAAAATTGGATGCTAATAAAAAAAAAAAGATTTTATTATTATTGTTATTGTTGTTGTTGTACTTTTCTCATTTTTTCCCTGAAGTCTTCGCGACCGGTGTAGCAATGAAACGAGAACAGGTGAATTGGTAGTACAATAAGCCTTGAACGGTACAGCTTCCTAATTAAATGCAGACAAAAGCAAACCTACCTTCGAGGTTGTCCAGGGAGACTCGAGAACAAATCTGGGACATTTTCTTTTTTTCCTTTCTTTCATTTTTTTTCCTTTCTTTTCTTTTCTTTCTTTTCTTTTTTTTTTCTTTTTTTTTTTATAGCAAACTCTGATAAAGGTACAAGTGTGTTCGAACGTAATTGTTAGTATAAAAAAGAAAAAAGAAAAAAAGATAAATAAAACAATAATCGGATCAAAAATGACGCACTCCAAACAAAATCCTAAATCACATTCGCTGATCGATAGAAGAAAAAAGAAGAAAAAAAAGAAGAAAAAAAAAAAAAAAAGAAAAGAAAAAAAGCCCCAAAGTAATCGATCGAGATAATAAATAAACCAGTGATCACGGAAATGGTCTAATTCTTAATCATATACATTTTTTTTGCCTTTTGAGATATTTTAAGAGGCGTTCGACTTTGGAATTATTTGAATATTATTTTTCTACAACGACAAACATGGAAATAGTGAATATATATATATGTGTATATTTATTTTCGACAAAATATAATTCTCTTTAAAGTAATTTTAGAAATTTTAATTTTAATAATAACGCGTTTTGTGTATATATTATTATATATATATATTAAATTTGCCTTTTAATATCTCAAATGATTTAAAATCATTTTTATAACTTTAGCCTATAATAACATATAAGAAAAAAAAATATATATATATATTTATTCTTAAAGATTAATTTCTTTTTTTAAGTAATTTAAAAATTTTTTTAATAACGCGTTATATTGGATATGTCTTTTGATGTCTCAAATGATTTATTAAACCACTTTTATAATCACAGGTTGAATTGTTTCTCGAGAATTAATTTATATATATATATGTATATATATAAATAAATTCTTTTATATATACATATATCAAATAAATGAATTCTCGATCGATCACTTTAGAGATTAATTAAGAATATTTGCAAGGAAAAAAAAAAAAAAAAAAAAAAAAAAAAAAAAAAAAAAAAAAAAAAAAAAAAAAAAAAAAAAAGAAAAAAAAAAGAGTCACGCGAGTAACTTTGATTAAGATTGTAGTAAAATTGGTCCCCTTATTTTTTCTTTTTTGTTAACTTTTTCTTTCTTTCTTATTTTTTTTCTTTTTTTTTTTTTGTATTCGATACAACAATTGGTCGAGATGCCTTAGATTTTTTTTACTATGCCTTAATCACTTTCGAGATAACATTTTTGTATATCTTCTCATAATCAATCTAAATCCGATGAAACATGAGAGAGATCTATTTATACTCGAGATCATGAAATGCATTATATATATAAAAATTATATATATATATATATATATATATATATATATATAACTTAATATATATATAAATAAATATATATATAACTGGTCAGGCATATCCTTGAAAATAAGGCTTACTGTGTTTTGGGAGATTTGTTATACACAGAGCACATTTAATAAGGAGGGGGTGGTAGGTGCTACTCCTAGTCGGATACCTCGGTGTCGGGGTCGAGATCCCGCGTGGGGGTTGATGCGTTGTTAGCTGACGCTGAATGTACTCCAGGTCGATGTGTTCTTCGAGGATCGAATGGATCCACTACGATTTGTTCAGTACCCTTGATCTCTGCTCGACAGAATGGGCAACCTTGCCCTTCCGAATCCTGTAGGGATCATTAAGAAGAAATTTACAATAACAATATATTCATCATAATTATGTCTATATCAATAATTGTTTTATCGTTTAATCGTACATTAGCTTGTTCGAAAGATTCGTGACTGTTGCTCCTATGAACGTATATATATATATATATATATATATATATATATATGTAAATGTATGTAAATGTTCCTAGGTAGGTCAAAAGTTCCTAGGGTGATTTTAAAAATTGTTTACTCTTTTTCAAGATTTTCTAAATTGATTTCTTTCAATTTCTAAAAATTCAAGTTAGGCTTGTAAAATTAATTAGATTAAAAAATTACCCCATAAAGAAGTCTTGAAAAGGTTTTTAAAATCATCTAGAAAGATTTGGCTTATCCAATATAAGTATACTAAAAATGTATTTATTTTATGCATATATTGAAATATAATTCAAAATATTTGCAGATAAAGTCTTTATAGATACATATATATATATATTTTCTTTTCTTTTTTTCAAATATAGCGATCCATTAGAATTGTTTCATTGAAGATCGGCACGAACTTTCTGGACAACTCAATATAGTCGATTACTTTGACGATTTAATATTGAATATTTTGTTATCACATGTAAGAGATATAATAAAATATAAAATACTGCTACCTGCCAAGCTGTAAGACACGGAGTACAAAGTAGATGTCCACAAGGTTCTATCCTAACATCCTTATCATGCTCCGCACAAATCTTACACAATTGGAATGTGCTACCCATTTCACAATAAAGTTCATATTGTTCCGCAGTAACTTTTATGTGTTCTTCTGGTGTTGGTTGTACAGCCCATGTTAAATCCGGATTTATGTTACGTCCATCAGGATATAAATAACTGAAAGAACGTTTTTCATTCATATAAAGTTGATTATTTCTTTCTAAGAAAATTTTCATGTCATTTCTTTTTTCTTTTTTATTTATTCATTATTATTATTATTATTATTATTATTACTTTTTTTTTTTACTTTTTAAATGATTCCATCGTTTGTCATCTTTACTTACAAGCCTTCCCTATAACCATCTAAAAGTGCTTGACAAAGACTCTTGTTGTGTGGTATAGTCTGAAGTATATCTCCGTCTGATGTAACATATCCGATCGCCCATTGACCTAATCTCGTGCAACTTAATCGAAATACGTAACTTCCAGGTTTGGTGATACAATATTTTTGTAAACGTGCCTTTACTTCATCGTACGTGAGAAAGGCAACGTAACCGGGATGTGCCACAGCCAAGATTTTCCAATTGCGTAGGAGCGTCGACCATGGTTGAAATAATCTTTTCATTAGACGGCAGAGAGATAGAGAGAGATAGAGAGAGATAGAGAGAGAGAGAAAGAAAGAGAGAGAGAGAGAGAGAGGGAGAAAGAACAAAAAACACATATATTTTATTAAAAATTAAACGATAAATATTTTTTAACATGTATATGGAATTTTTAATTTACCTTGTAAATACGTCGAATTCAAAATTGGAAATGTAGTCGTTGCACGTAAGGTCTATCGTCGATTTCAATGCCATTGCTTGTAATCCAGAACTTATCGGATGTACTTGATTTAATTCGTGTCTAAATACCTTCCATGGTACCAAAGTACTGCAAAAATAAAATACGATATTTTTTTCTTTATATATATATAATTTTCTTAATTATAATCTTCTTAATTACATAATCCATAATTCTCTTATTGCAATTGTATAGGTTGAGTTAAAAGTTCTTAGTTGATTTAAAAACAAAATTTTTTTTTTTAATTTTCTAGACTTTTCAGATCAATATATTTTTTTTCTTTTTGATTTTTTTTTTTAGATTATAAAATTAGCAAGCTCAGCTGCAAAAAGCCTAATTACTATTCTAAAAAGTGAGAAAGACAGAGAGAGTAACTGATTTTTAATATCGTTTTGCTTCACCTTGTAAAAAAAAAAAAAAAAAAAAAAAAAAAGAAAAAAAAAACCAATTTTCTTGCCACCATTATTTATCCCCAACCCTCCTACTTCAAATAAAATCTATTTTTAAACGAAAAAAAGGAAAAAAAGAAAAAAATATTTTCAATATAACAGAAATGTATTAAAATATTCTGATATTCTATATATAATAATAATTTCAAAAATCAAAACCTTCGAAGCCCAAAGAGTATTTTTAAAATAATCGTATAAAAAAATAATTCGTTAGAAATTCAAAGTAAATGATAGACCACGATATGACGCATTCTAATTTGCATCATATTCTTGGATATTTAATAAGACATTGTTTCGTAACTTGAGCATTCTTGATGTGTAATACGAGAGTCCCCCAAGGTTTGCAATATGTTTCTATGTTTTATTTTCTCATGCTTTACAGCAGTTGGTGTCTATTATGATAAATATTTTAAGTTTCGATCGAAACGTATTGTAAGAGCAAAGTGTGATCAAAGAAAATGTTATATCAGATATTCGATCTAACCTCAAAATATTACTTCTGATAAATATTTCGAAACGTTCGAATTATTGAAATTTCTTCTTCTTTTCTTTCTTCTTTTTTTTTTTTGACGATGAATCTTTTTGCTTAGGTATTTATAAAAAAGAAAAAAAAACAAAACAAAAAAATAATATTGAAAAAGAAACGAAAAAGGAAATATAAAGAATACAAAAATTAAATGTAATAATGAATTAATTATTAAATGTAATAATAAATGATAAATATTTTCTATACGGTCTTAGAAATAAAAATAATTTTCTGCGAATCATTTATATCGATTCGACGAGAATTCTTAAAGAAAGTTTATTGTTGTTGGTTATTCTAAAGAAAATTGCTTCGTCATATTTAACAAATGTCACATATGTCCTCAACACTTCGCGAATCAAATATTTAAGAAAGCATTTTGCTTTTTTCTTTTCGTTTTTCAACTATAGAAGAACATAATCACACAAAAATAGGACTTTCGTATATTTATAATATTATGAAACATACGAGGACATACAAGTAGTATTATTTTATTATATGATAAAAATTGTCGCAAAAAACAAAAAAAAAATTATAAAAAAGAATCGTCGATTCGATAAATCTAAAAATCTTTTCGATAATTTTAATCATTTTTATTCGTTCTGACTCCATATAGATTAATTTTGTCTATTTTCTATAAATATAATCAGAAAAATTTTATGTGAAAATCGATAATATTTAATCAGAAATCATTTAGTAATGGATAATGGTATAAACATAGAATGAGATTAATTATTTCATGAATTTCGAACGTTATTAAAAGAAAGAAAAAGAAAAAAAGAACAAATCGATCGTGGATATATTTTATAGATTTTTTTATTTTTTTTTTTTTTTTTTTTGTTAAATGACACAATTTCTAACAACAGTGATTACGTTACTGTGAGAAAATCGTCGCGCGCATTCGTTTTAACGGATTCCTCTGACCCCTCCCTTCCGTCAAGTTCGTGGTTATTAGACGAAAGTTGCGCATCGGTTCGTCAGTACAAGGAAAGAATTGATGTTGCGTGGTTTTATGCTTCGTGAAAGTGTTGTGATATTTCTGATTACTGTTTTCTTCTCTCACCGATATTTTTTCGGTAAGATTAATAAGTTCACGATAAGACGAAAGATAATATGATTTGTTTCGATAATAGTAAAATTATCTTAAATAATCATGAAAAAGAGAATACGTGAAAATGGGTTAGAGGACAACCGGCTACAATTTAGACACCGAAGACCATTTTAGTTCACTCATTGGTTTGTTAGATGGCGCGACGTGTTTCGTTCAAGCTCGGTCGATAACAGTTCCCATTATCGATGGTTGAAAAATGTTTCCCCAATGTGCATCCTATTCGATTATCATTCGATTGATTTCACTGGATTGATTTATTATTGTCACTTCCTGTCATAATTTTTTCACTCGTTTTGACTTCTTTTTCTTTTTTATTTATTATATATATATATATATATACATATTTTTCTGTTTCTTATTTTTTTTACGAATAATAATCTTACGAATAACTAAATACGCGAGAATATTTTCTCATTATATGAAAAAGTACGAAAATGATATTAAAAAATGCATGCGATATGTGATGTATATACACACATATGTATATATATACATATATATGCATATATAAAGAAAGACTAATGTAAAAGCTTCGTCAAACGTCGAGCTTTTCTTTGAATTCGGATTTTTCTTTTGAATAAATTCAAAGGGTTTCCAAAATGGGAATGAGGTTAACGTAGAATCTGAAAAGAGTTAACATGAGAAATACATGTGTAGTATATTACATGCATGCTTTGCATGCCCCCTTTTATTTAAAATAAATTGTCAAAAAAAACAAAAAAAAAAAAAAAAAAAAAAAAAAAAAATCTGATATTATACGATTGTAATACGATGATATACACTAATGAAGCACATTTGTTCGTTTTTTAATGATCGTATAGTGTGTTAAGGTCGTATGTATTGAAATATATAGGTATACATACATATATATACATTTTCAACAAATGTGAATTATATAGTGATTAAAGAATGGAATATCGGTGACGCGATGCACGTTATCTCTTTGAGAGTATCTCTTCTTATCGGCTTACATCGATATTTGAAAAAGGCGGATGTGAAGATCCTGTTGTATGAATGACGACGTGCCTCCAAATGAGTCAGCGTCTCTTTTCTAAAGAAGTGTCTTAAAAAAAAAAAAAAAAAAAAAAAACGGTGTAAGGGGGTGGTATTAAAATACTGATAAAATTTTTTGAAACTAGGCGATAAATACCATCGATAATTATTTTCTTCCTTTTATCAAGATGCATGACCATTTTACTACTAGTACTAATAATAATAATAATTATAATAATAATAATTATTATTATTATTATTATTTATTAAATTAAATTTTGTTTCTTTTCTTTTCTTTTTACTGAATCTAATTAAACATTCAATTGAAAAAAAAAAAAAAAAAAAATCAATGGGGGGAACAAAAAAGTTCTACATTAGATACACGTGATTGAAAATTTGCACTATAAATTTCAGGAACGTTGTTACAAGTTTAAACACTTGTGAATGAAAAATGCACACGATAAAAAAACTCGCATTGCTACCAAGGGCATTCCCACTTCTCATTCGATCCGTAACAGGCACGTAAATTCAACCAATGCATTTTTTTAATGAATGAAAAAAGAACAAGCGTACATATACACGTATATATATATATATATATATATATATATATATATATATATATATATAAAAAAGAAAAAAAAAAAGCAAAAAAAAAGAAAAAAAAAAAGCGTAATCGAGTTCACGAGAGAATTTCACGATTTGATAAATTAATTGTTTGTCAATATTCCGTGAACACGATTACATTATATTCCCTCCTTTTTTCTCGTTTCCACTTATATATATATCCCTCCCATCCTTGTCTTTCCCTATAATCCCACTCCTACATTCATCTCCTGACTATCGACAGATAAAATAACGAATGCCACGAATTCATGGAAAAAGACGAAGGAAAATGAAGAAAATAAATCGGGGGTATTGTGTGTGTGTGTGTGTGTATATATATATATATGTGCATGCATACGCGCGTGTACGTGTTTGCGCATGTGTGTATGTGTTGTTGTTTTTGTTCGACGCAAAAGAAGCACGATGACGAAGCTCGATGTGCGTTAACAACAACGTGTGATGAGTGTGTGTTTATTCCGATTTAAATCCGACGCAACACGTGTCCCGTTTATTTATTAATCCTTTTATAGCTTTCGATATCGCTTGGACAAATATATTTTATTAAATAAAAGAAAAGAAAAGAAAAGAAAAGAAAAGAAAAAAAAAAAAAGGTTCGATAGCAACGTCGATTTAACGATTCAATCTTTCGCCTCAATTTTTTCCTTTGCTTTTTTTTCTCCCCCTTTTAACCGCAAAAAAAAGGAACAAATATTTTTATCAAAAAATTCTACACTTGAAATCAAAACACCGACATATCTTTCTCTCTCTCTCTCTCTCTCTCTTTTTTCTTCTATTCTTTTTCCCCTTTTCGATCAGATCGTTTTCACTTTGTTTCAATTTTTCTCTTTTTCTTTTTTTCTTTTTTTTTTTTTTCTTTTCTTTTTTAGCCGTTGATACGATGAACGGAAATCAGGATTATAAGTCGGCCAAATCGATTTATGATTTCACGGCTAATTCTATTAAAGGCGAAGAAGTTCCTTTGTCGAAGTGAGTATTAGCACACTTTTCTATTTCTTCATTTTATTTTCCTCTTTTCTTTTTTTCTTATTTTTTTTTCTTCTCTTAAAACGAAACTATCTTCTCTTAAGTCTTAAAATTTCATAAAATTTTTCTACTCGTTAATTTCCATCGTTTCTTTTTTTTTTATTTGTTTTGTATTTCTTTTCCTTCTTTTTTTTTTCTTTTTTTTTTTTTTTTTTTCTTTTTTAAATCTCGTCCATACAATTAGATACAAGGATCACGTATGCCTGATCGTAAACGTTGCCTCGAAATGTGGACTCACTGCGACGAACTATAAGGAACTGAATGAACTCTATGATGAGTACGGCGAATCCAAAGGTCAGTGAGCAAAAGTTTCGAACATAAATCAGTTTAAACGAGACGAAGAGAGAAAAAGAAAAGAAAAGAG